CTAAGAATCTCTTGTTTCCATGAAAGCTAAGCTCAAATACCACCTCCTACAGGAAGCCTTCCCTGATCACTCCTACTACCAAAGGAACTCACTTTATAGTTGTAAACACCTAGGACACATGGATAGGGACAGAGATAGGCCATGACATAAGAGAACCAAACATGGAATCATGAGAGATGTGGGGGTCTTGTTGCCCCTAATGGAAGGTAAGCTCTTTGAAGGCAGGGACTGTTCACTGTTTTTTCTTTGTATATCCAGGACCTAGCACAGGTTTTGGACTTAGTAAATATTTACTGATTGATTGATTGATCAAAAGTCTTGCCTCTCACTGGATAGGAGAAGAGGGGAGAGATACATTCAAGAATGGAAGATTCCCAGAATGACAAAAAGTGGAAGACCTAGGGTCTAGACCACTGGAGGGATTGACCACATCGATGAGCTCACCAATCCATCAGCATATCAAAGTGCTCACCTCAAGGGCCATCCTGAGGATTGAATGAGATCATGTGTGTAAAATGACTCACAAACTAGAAGATCGATGTTAGCTATCATTAGTAAGAAATGGGTCAGAATACCATAATACTGTCTGAGGCTGTAGTGGTATGGTAGAAAGAGCTCTGGCCTTGGAATAAGGAAAGAGCTAAATTCAAATCCTAGTCCTGACACTTACTCACTGTACCAGGGAAAAGCTACTTCCTTTCTCTAAACCAGAGTTTCTTCATGGAGAAACGACTCCTGTACTCCTGTCTGCTAGAGTCACGGAATGGAAAGCATTCTAAATCCTCAAGAACAACCTAAATATGAATGGTTTGTATCCTGGCTATCTGAAGGTGCTGCTACTAAGACATCAGAAGTAAGGAAGGCATGTTTTGAAGTTGGTTTCTTTCAAAAGAGTTCAGGGGGTAAGGGATAAAGTGTCAGTCTAGTTTTCTAATGCTTTTAAATGCTAACAAGCACAGACCTAGGGCTGGAAGAGACTTCAGAGGCCATCTCGTCCAATCTACTCATTTTACAAATAAGGAAACTGAGGCCCAGAGGGGTTAGGTAACTTTGTAGGATCATAGATCTACAATCTAAGTCTGGAAGAGACCTCGGGTCATTGAATTGAACCTCAGAAGTTCTAGACCCTTCATTTTATAAATGAAGAGACCCAGGTAGATTAAGGGACATGCCCAAGGTCACACAGATAGCAAGCATCAGAAACAGGATCTGAACCCACTGTACCACATGGCCTGCATGTGCTCCATTTCCATGTTCAAGAATGCTGTAATTTCCTTAATCTAATCATAATCATTTTCCCTTTGCCTTATAATACCTAACCTTCTTCCTTTACCTCCCTGTGACTTCCAATCCCTGTATACTGTCTTTCCCAGGCTATTACCCTTGTACTGACTACTTTCCTCCCTTCCCTAACTAAATCCCTTGGTTAATCATTCCACTCTACACTGAGATCCCTCGTCCTTTTGTCCAACTGCAAACAATGCAAAACCTCAACATTGTACTACTCCCACCATCCACCTCCTTTGCTCCTATTCACATGTTGCTGAGCAAGGCTGGAGAAAGTCAGGAAACCATGCTGAGTCTACTACAAACTGGTGTTACATGATCTCAACCGGGCCCTCACCACTATAAGGCAATCCCTTAACACCTCCCTAATTAATTCGATAACCCACTCACCACAGAATTTTTTCTCAACCATGTCGTGTCTCCTCAAACCTTCTGTGGTTCTCCTTCCCCACCCTCTCAGCCAAGAATCTCACTGCAGAATCTCTTTTGTCATCTCTTCCTCATTTCAAATCATCCAGACAATGCCACTATCTCTTTCTTCATCCTTGTCTCACATGAAGAGGTAGCCTTTCTCCAAGACAAACTTCTACCTTGCAAAAGTAATATCATTCCATCCAGTGCTTAGCATAATGCCTGGCATACAGTAGGCATTTAATAAATGTCTATTGATTAACTGATCCTGTCTTCTCTAGCAGATTGTTTCCTCTATCATCCTGATTCTTTCATTAATCTTTAATTACTCACTATCTATTGACCACCCTTGCTGGTTACAAAAACACCCATATTGCTACATCCTTAAAAAACAATCATCACTTGATCCATCCCTTCCCCAAAACTATCATCATATACATCTCTCCTCCTCTTTTTAATTAAATTCCTTGAGAAAACCATCTACATTCAATCCCTCCACTTGTTCTCTTCATTTACCCTCCTCTAAACTCTCTGAAGTCTGCTTTCTGACCTTATCATTCAACTATTCAACTGAAACTACTCTCTCCAAAGTTACCAATGATCTCTTACTAGCCACATCTGAAGGTCTTTTCTCAGCCATTCTTCTGATCCTTCTGCTGCCTTTGACTCTGTCGATTACCCTCTTCTAGATACACTATTATCTGTAGGCTTTCATGATCCTGCTCTCTCCTGATTCTCCTCCTACCTGTCTGACTCCTACCTATACTCCTTCTCAGTCTCCTTGGCTGAATCTGCACACACGTTACACCCACCAACCATAGTTATTCTCCATGGCTCTGTTCCGGACCTTCTTCTCTCTAATACTATCTAGCTTGAGAATCTCATCAGAATCATGAGTTCAGTTACCAGCTCTATGTAGATAATCCCAAATCTATATATACAGATTGAATTTCTCTCCTAAGCTCCAGTCTCACATTTCCAACTAGATGCCCACAGGCATCTCAAACTCAACATGTCCAAAAAAGAACTCATAAAAACCTTCCTCTTCCCAATTTTCCTATTATTGTCAAAGGAACCACCATCCTTGAAATCATCCAGGCTCACAACCAAGGTTTAATCCTTAAATTCTCATTCATAGTCACCTCACATATTCAATCTATTATCTGGTTTCTACCTTCACGGTATCTCCCATATACATCCCCTTCTCTCCTCTCACCTGACCATCAACCTAGTGCAGATTCTAATCACCTTATGCCCAAATTATTGCAATAACTACAGTTTGGTCTCTCTGCCTCAAGCTACCCCCCGCTCCATTTCATCCTCTACTCTTAAAGCATGGATCTGATCATTTGATCTTCTTAAAGCACGAATCTGACCACGTCATCCCTCCCCACCCCCAATCGCTCTGCTCAATAAACTCCAGGGACTCGTTACTCCAGAATCAAATATAAGGTCCTCTGACATTTAAAGCACTTCATAGCATTACTCCTTTCTGCCTTTCTAATCTTCTTATATCTTACTCTTCTCTACAAATTCTACAATCCAGTGACACTGGTGCCTTCTTCACGTGACGTACTCCATCTCCCAACCCTACAAGTTTGTACTGACTGTCCCCATGCCTAGAATTCTCTCCCTCCTCACATCCATGTCCTCGCTTCCTAGCCTCCTTCCAGACACAAATTCAGCTCAAATCCCACCTTTTGCAGGAAGCCTTTCCCAGTTCTCCCTGCCCCCATCTCCAAGGGGGATCCAGGGTCTTTCCTCTGAAATTTAAGCTGCATATATCTTGTAGGTATATAGTTCTTTGTGTATTGTCTCTCTCATTAAAATGTTAGCTCCTTGAGGAGAGGAACTTTTTAACTTTTTAATCTTAATTTTTATTTTTGTGCCTTTCCTTGCATCTCCAGTTCTTAGCACATAGTAAGCATTTAACAAACGTGTGCTGACTGATAATGTCACAGGTATATTTGAGTTAGGAATGCAGTCCATGGTTCTGGACAGGATATGTTGCTTAGCACCCAATATGGTACCTGATTACAGGCATAGAGTCAGCTGAGCTGATCAAACTCTGAACATGAAGAGACCCCAGGCAGCACCTGCTAAGTCTTTCTCGTCATCTTTCTGTGACCTGGGGAATTTAACAAACATTAATTAGGCACCTACTATGTGCAAAGCCCTTTGTCTTGATACTACATTGGCTGAGATAATGGGATCCTTGTACCTACAGGAAGGAGAATGTAGAGGGTCAAGAAACAACAATACAGGTCCTTTCCAGGTGCCTGGCTCTCTAATTTCCCACACTTTACCCCTTCCTATCACCCCTTTCCCCTTCAATATTTTAACAAACCAGTAATTAATCTCATTTCTGTTTTCAAATTTCTTTTGTACTACTTACTACCAGTGACTTTAGGTAAGTCACTTAGCCATTCTCAGCCTTAGTTTCCGCTTGCACAGAGGAAGCCAGACTAGTTTTGTCTAACACCTCTTGGAGCTCTGAGATGGCACGACTCTGTCCCCATGCTTCTTAGTCTCTGCATCTATTTCTCTTTGTCTCTGTCTCTTGCTATGACTCCAGTACTGTCTGTCTATCCCAATGTATCTGTTCTTCTTTCCTATTTCTTTCTCTATGTGCTCTCTCTCTCTCTCCCTCTCCCTATCCTTCTCTCTCTTTCTCTCCCATTCCCTCTCTCCCTCTCTCCCTCTCTCTCTCTTTCCCTCCTCCTTCTCTCACTCCCTCCCTCCCCCCTTCCTGTCTCTGTCTCTGCCTATCCCAGTAAGTCTGTTTGTCTCTCTTCCTCAGTCTGACTCTGAAGCTCTTTGTCTCTTCCTCTATCTCTATCTCTCTCTCCTCCATCTCCCTTTCCTAATGTTCCTCTCTTCCCCTCTCCTTGTCTCTCTTTTTCTCCCTCTCTTCTTCTCTTCCTCCTTTCCAAACTCTGTCCCAGGGTTTCTATTTCCCTCTGTATATCTGTTTCGGTCTATCTCTCTTCTTTCCCCTCCCCTCTCTTTCCCGGTCTCTCTCTTTGTGTCTCTCTCGCTCTCGCTCTCGCTCTCGCTCTCTCCCTGTCTCAATGTTAGTTTCCCTCCTCTGCCTCTATATCTGTTTCTTTCTCTGGGTCTGTCTCTCTTCTCTCCCTCCTTTCCTCCCTCCCTGTTTCTATCTCTGTCCCAGAGTTTCTTCCTGTCTCTGGCTCCCTAGTTATCTGTTTTCCGATCTGTCAGTGTCAGGAATCTGTTTCTCCCTCCCCTCTCCCTACTCCTGCCCCCGCCCCCGCCCCCTCCCCACCCCACAGCGGCGGCGCTCTTGGCTCTGGCTCTCGAAGGAGCCCCAGCAGCAGCAGAGACAGGAGGTAGGAACAGCAGCAGCAGCAGCAACGGTAGCAGCAGCAACGGGCGGAGGAGGGATGAGAGGTGAGGTCACGTCTCCCCTGAGCCCAGAGCTGGCTTTTCAGAGCTTCTGGAGCCCCCGGCCAGAGTCCGCAGCCTCCGCAGGCCTCCTGTTCTGCCCCCGCCTCCTCGGCCTTTCCCATGTCTCAGCACCGCCCCACGTCGGACTCCAAGAGGGCTTTGGACGGCAGTCCCGAGACCAACATCGAGGATGATGCCCCCGAGGAGGAGGTCCAGATGCCCCCCAACTACCTGCTGCTCACCATCTTTTCCTGCTTCTGCCCCGCGTACCCCCATCAACATAGTGGCCTTCGTCTTCTCCATCATGGTGAGTCCGCGCAGTCAGGCAAGGCATGCCTAGGGGCCAGCGCCCGCCCGAGAGGGTGGATCTGTGCCGGCCGCCGCCAAGCTTCCTATCACTGTATACCATGCTCACCCGGTCAGCCTTCACCCCTGCCAACGTAAGGATGGATGGACGGCAGAGGGTTGGTGGTTCATTATTGACCAGAGCAGCTGGCCACGAGGAAAAGGGGTTGCAGCGGGGTGAGTCTCTGCCCAGCCTTGTGCTGGGACAACCCTGCAACCTTTTGGCCAGAGCCTCCAACCTCACTCAGCCTCCCGCCGTTCTACCCTGGGAGAGCCACGGTCCCCAGTCCCACTCGCCGGCAGGACAATCCCTATCCCTCGCAGGTAGAGCCCCTCAACTCTCCTACACGTCTTCCCCCAACCAGGTGACACATGTCTCGCCCTGCTGTGAGAGCAGTCCCAAACCTTGTTAATTATGTCCACAGTATCTCCACAGCGATTTACAGAGCGTTTTCTCACAACAGCCCTGTTAAGGATAGTAGTGTTAGGTAAGTATGTTCCTTTTTACGTTACAGATGAGGAAACCAAGGCTCAGAAAAACTAAGTAAATTACCCAGAGTCATCTGGGAGTATCATACTGAATTGGAACCCTTTCTTTTGATTCCAAGTGCAAGGCATTTTTTCCATCCTACCGTCTGCACACCTAAAAGCCTATTATTAATTTTGTAACAACTTTTGGCAAAGGGAAGTTTCTGGCTCTCTCACTAACACACCTTTCACTACAAATCTGATTTAATAATAGGCTTTTAGGTGTGCAGTTTACCCACTTCCCAGCAGTAGCAGCAGCAAAGTGAACCCTCTCCTTATGTCGACTTGGCCATTTTAAAAAGGGGAGGGGAAACAAGCCAAATCGGCCAGACTCATTTTTGAGTTTACAGGGAAGCCCCCTGTTTAGTTGCAACCCTTTCCCGGACTGGCAGTGTGGGAAGTCAGCCAGTCCCCACCCTTGCCAGTGCTGCCGGAAATCTTTTGTGCATGTTACAGCTTAGAAAGAAGGCTAAGAAGCTACTTTTGGTCTCTGTGAGTGGGAGACCTTTCCACTTCTGGGGAGACACCGCTAATACCAGAGCAGATGGCCAGAGAGGAGAACCACAGAGATAAACCTGGCACCGTCTTCTTCCTGACTCTGAGGTGTACAATTACAATCTCAGGGTATTTCTCAGAATCTCAGAGTCGAAAAGGACCTTAGGGGCCATATAGTACAACCCATGCCTGGTCAAAAATTCTCTCTACAATATGCATGGCAAACAGTCATCCACCCTTGGAAAATCTGTAAGCTGCCCCCTTACTGAGTCCAGGCCCAGGTGCTACCTTCTCCAAACCATCTCCCACACAGCTCCTGAATTCCTAAAACACACATCTCAGCATAGGATCACAGAGTTAGAGCTAGAAGGGACCTTAGAAGCAATCAAGTCCATTTCTGTCATCGTATAGATAAGGAAACTGAGGCTCAGCAAGGCTGAGTGACTTGCCCAGGGTCACACAGCTAGTAAATATCTAGGGCAGGATTTGAACTCATGTCTTCCAGACTCTGACCATTTTGCCACCTAGCTGTGGCAACACTGGCTTATTTGACAGTCTTCATTGGTTCTGTCTTGTCTCTAAGATATGAAACAAAACGCTAAATCTGACGTTAATATAGCCTTCCACAACATGGTTCACACCTACCTTTCGAGTCTTTGTTACTGTTGCTGCTATTCCCCTTCATGCACTCTCTGTCCTAGCCAAAATGACCTGCTAGTTGCTCTCCACACAGAAAATTCCATTTCCCACCAATTCTTTCCCATAGGTCTGGAATGCACTCCCTCCCCATCTATATCTCCTGGAATCCCTAGCTTGGAGTCTCATCTGTCTCTAACAAATCAATTCAGGTACCAGACCCTACACATGCCCTTTCCTGATTGCCTGCACTTGTCAGTACCTTTTCCTCTTGATAATGCTTTATATAAATTTCAGTATTCTGTGTACTGTGTTCAGTCATCTCCCTTTAGTAAAACGTAAACCCTGTATGGGTAGGCCCCCTCCTGTTGTTGTCTTTGTACTATCAGCACCCGGTTCAGTGCCTGGTACATTGTAAGTGCTTAATAAATGTGTGTTGAATTTGTTGCTTGTATTAGAGGACCTGTAACCTCCCTTCCAGCTATAAATCTGGGATCTTAGGAGGGTACAATTGGACTTTAGAAGAGCATACTACCAGGCTAGAAGAATGTGAAGGGAAGTAAAAGAGAGAAGAACACAGTAAATATAAGATGGTCATGAAATCTCCCCATACATTCTCTCTTCTTTTATCATATGCTGTTATAATACTGGGCAGCTAAGTGGTGCAGTAGATAAAGCCCTGGGCTTAGAATCAGGAAGTTATCTTCCTGAGTTTAAATCCAGCCTCACATACTTGCTAGCTGTGTGACCTTGGGCAAGTCACTTCACCCTGTTTGCCTCAGTTTCATCATTTGTAAAAATGATCTGGAGAAAGAAATGACAAACCACTCCAGTATCTTTGCCATGAAAACCCGAAAATGAGGTCAAGAAGAGTCAGATGTGATGAAACAACAACAACCTTTATAAATACCCAGGATAGTCAATCCATATTCATTGATAATGCATTCATTTGGAATTTGTACAGAGCTGGGCTCAACTTGATTAGGTTTTGATTAGGTTCATAGGGTTTGAATTCTTCATACAGAGTTCAAAATGATGGTCTTTTCCTGAAGAAGGTTTAAAATATTTAAAAGAACCAACTCTGTAGATATTATTTTCAGTAGTATCTGAAAGATCATGGAAAATGGGAGAGTTGCCACAATATTGGAGGAGGGCAAATGTCCTCATTTCCATAAAAGGAAAGAGAACAGTTAGCAAGCCAGTGAGTTTGACTTCAGTTTCCGGGGAAATTCTAGAATGAGTCCTTCAAAACATGGTTGGCACACCTGCAGAGAGGGCAGTGGTGATTACAAAGCCAATGTGGCTTCATCAAGAATACGTCATGCTGGACTCACCTCATTTCTTTTTTTGACCAGATTACTAAACTAGCATAGGAGAATGCTGTTGATTATAGTTTACCTAGATTTTTAGCAAAGCTTTCATAAGCTATCTCACACTATTTTAACATGGTTGATTCTGGCCATACTATTCTAGAGTCAAGTCTGCCTTTTTACCCCTTCAGGGTTATCTGGTAAGTGCAAGGATTAGGGATTCTTTCTTTTCTCTGTTATCCACTCAAGCCTCCATTGGCTGTGTTCCTGCCATTCTTAGGGCACCAGGAACTATCACCTAAGCTCCATTTAACCACTTATCATTAGATTCATTTTTAGAAAGAATGTTTACTTTAAAGATATAGTAGGAACAAATATTCAGACATTTTCCCCAAAATCTTGTAAGGCATAATACTCCCCTATACTGTAGAAGGGGGGCAGGGGATTAGGCTCACATTTAGCTGCATAACATTAGTGCCACCAGGTTTAAGTCCAAAGACAGCAATGTTGGCTTCTGTTGAGCTGGCACCTCCATACCATGCTCCTCAGAGCATCACTACTGGGCTGTCTGCAATGTCCCTCCTGGATTTCTGGACTCCCAGCTCCCCAAGCTCCATTCCTTCTTCCTCGAATAGAAAAGAAGAAACAAAAAGTCCAAAGACTGTTTCTCTGAGCCATGTGGCCTAAGAGGGTGGAGGAAGGAGGTGACTACTGCACGGTGTGAATGAAGGAGTCCTTCACCTTCAAACTAGGGATAGGAATGCCACAAAAGCTTCTACAGGTGCCTAGTCAGGCTGTTTAAAAGATGCCAAGATTTTCAGCCATAAAGACAGTGGAAAAAGGCTGCCCACTGGTGTGCTGGTTGGTGTGCTAATGCAAAATCTTCACTCATCCTTCAGTCTCCAGTCTCTCAGAAAGAAGTACCCAGTGTCTTCTATGTGAATGACGCTATCTTAGCAAACTGATGGTGTCCGCATATAGGCCAGACCTCCATTGTACTATTCTTGTGAAGAGAATGGAGAAATGGATGAGATGATAATGCAGTGAGATGAAAAACTGATTAGATGGCTAGATCAATAAGTGGTTGTTAATGATTCAATACCAAAGTGTAAGGAGGTCTCCAGTAAAGTGCCATAGGGATCTATGCTTGACCCTTTGTCATTTAATTTTTTTTAATCATTGAATTAGATAAAGACCTAGATGGCATCTTTATAAAATTTGCAGGTAGCACTAAACGAGGTAGCTAACAGCTACATAGACCCAAAAGAATTTTGACAGGCTAGAGCATTAGGCTGAATGCAATAAGATGAAATTCAGTAGGAAGAAAAGTAAGGTCTTGTACTTGAGTACAAAGAGTCACCTCCACAAGTATAAGGTGGGGCATGTTTAGAGAGCACTGTTCAGATGAAGATCTGGGGATTTCAGTGGACTGCAAGCTCATGTGTATGTAACAGCCATAAGAGTTAATGAGATCTCGGACTATGTTAAGAGGGGCCTAATTTCCAGAACTATGGAGGTGACGGTCCCTGGTCAGATCACATGTGGAGGGCTGTGACCAGTTCTGGGCACCAAGATCGAAGAAAGACATCAATAAACTAAATGTTTCTTGACAACCAAGATGGTGAAAGGTGATGGGTGCGTGGCATAAGAGGTCACTTGAAGGAGCTGGGACATGTTTAGCCCAGAGAAGGAAAGACTCAAAAGGGATAAGATCGCTGTCTTCAAGTGTTTGAAGGGCTGTTATATAGAAGAAGGATTGGGCTTGTTCTGTTTGGACCCACAGGGAAGATCTAGCAGCAATGAGTAGATATTGCAAGGAGATAAATTTAGGATTGTTGTCAGGAAAAACACCCATCCCAACCTCTTTGGGAGCAAGTTACCTCATCTGTAAAATAAGGTGGTAGGAAAAAATGATCTCTAATGCTTCTTTTGTTTTCCGGCTATGAGGCAGCTGGTGGTGAAGTGGGTAAAGTGCTGGACTGGAGATATGAAG